GGCTGTGGGTGCGGGGCGGGGGCAGCCTGCATCCCGCGTTGGCGGTATTGTCCAACCAGGATTTACACCTGCTGGTCTCCCATTAGAGCTCCACCGCAGATGTTTCTGCTCCTAAATCCTTTCTTAACCGCCGCCCCCACCATTGCGAGTCAGAGCGCCGCTCTGTGCCCCCAAAATGCTCCATGTGTAGCCCTGCCTCCCAGATGTGAGCCCCCAAGGTCAGGGGTCCCTGCTCCCGCACAGTGTACAGGACTTCGCTGAGTGACATTGAAAGCCCTGGACAGGGTGCTGCCCTTGGGCAGCTCGTCAGTTGTTATTGCCCGACTAAGTGGGAAAGGTGTTGGGTTAACCTTCTCTAGGGCCCTGCTACTCAAGAGCGTGTTCTGGGGCCAGCAGCTCGGACATTACCTAGGAACTCCTTAGGAGCACGCTGCCATGGCCTGGCCAGTGTGGCTCAGTTGGCTGGAGCCCCTCAGGTTCCCCAAAAGGTCACGGGTTCGACTCCTAGTCAGGCACATGCCCAGGTTTGGGGTTCGATTCCCAGGAGGATGCAACCGATGGATGTTCCTCTCTCTCTCCCCCTCCTCTTCCCTCTAAAATCAATAAAAATCATGTCCTTGGGTGAGAATTTGAAAAAAAATGTGTGTCAGTTCCCACTCTGACCTGCAGAATCAGAATCTGAATTTTAAGAAATTTCCCGGGTGACTTGTATGGCTCATTCATTATAGTGTGAGAAGTGCTTCTTTCATTCTAGCTTCAGCCATTCTACTGAGGACACAGGTGTGTCCGAGCCCCCTGTGACAGGCTTGAAGGGGATCCCAGCTACAACTGGGAGGCCATGTGCCTGTTTCCATGACCTACAGTGTAAGGGCTTAGGGATTAGAAAATGCAATCTCAAGCTGATGCAATTTGCTTAGCAGCTGGACCCTGCTCAGGTCTGAGAAGCAGACTACACGGTAGGCTTTAGTTTTGTGAATAAAGGGGAAGCTTTAGCAGCAGATCTTGGGCCAGTGCGAGGACTAGGTAGAGACGGGCGGCTTGGCCAAGAGCCATCCCTCTTCCTCCATCTCTCCTCCCCAGATCCCAAAGGCAAGATTGACATTGGGCTGCCGCCACCCAAGGTCTGTCGGACCCAACAGCTGCTGGAGCGGAAACAGGTTCTCCGGGAGCTGAAGGCCAACGCGGAGGAGGAGCGGGCCGCCCGCCACCGCACAGGTAAGCCCTCCCAGGGAGGGGCCCCGGTGTGCCCCTGCCCCCACCCGGGGCCCAGCCGGCATTATTCCTTCCCAGTGTGCATTCCGCTGGAGGCTGTGCGGGCTGAGTGGGAGAGGACCTGCGGGCCCTACCACAAGCAGCGCCTGGCGGAGTACTATGGCCTCTACCGAGACCTGTTCCACGGTGCCACCTTCGTGCGGGGCAGGGGAGTGCTTAAACTCTGCCCCCCCTCCAATAAAACAGAAGCCTTTTCTACAGAGGTTATGGTGACCGCCACCGCACAGTGTGCATTGCGCTGGAGGCTGTGCGGGCTGAGTGGGAGAGGACCTGCGGGCCCTACCACAAGCAGCGCCTGGCGGAGTACTATGGCCTCTACCGAGACCTGTTCCACGGTGCCACCTTCGTGCCCCGAGTCCCCCTGCACGTGGCCTACGCCGTAGGTGAGGATGACGTGATGCCTGTGTACCACGGCAATGAGGTCACGCCGACAGAGGTAACTGCTGGCGGGTGCCCCTTCCTGCCCTGTGCGCACAGACACATCCCGCTGCAGGGCCGTGAGTCTCCCTCCCCAAGGACCTCTGTGTATAACAGCTTGTCTGTCCCTGGTGGGGGTGACAGCTCCCTCGTTCTCTCCCCATCAGGCTGCCCAGGCCCCAGAGGTGACTTACGAGGCAGACGAGGGCTCCCTGTGGACACTGCTGCTCACCAACTTGGGTAGGTGTCTAGGGTACAGGAGCCAGGGCCCTGGGGGCTGGGGGCGGGGCCAGGTGGAGAGCCGCGGTCCCGGCCCCTTTCATGGGCCTCAGTCGGTGGTTCTGTTTATGTGCAGATGGACACCTGCTAGAGCCGGATGCCGAGTATGTCCACTGGCTGGTGTGAGTACCTGGGGTGGGGCTGTGGGTCAGGCATGCGGGAGGCCCTGGCATCCTGGGAAGAGCTGCACCTGAATTTCAGTCTTGGCTCCATCGCGGATTAACAATGGGACTTGGGGTTAACCTCCCTCCCCTGGAGGTGCCCCCCCCCCCCTCTGCTTCCTGGGAGTGTGAGGGCCTTAGGATCCCGTGGCTGGAAACGGGTAAGAGGAAAAGCAGGCAGCGGGCCTGGGCTGCTCCCACAGGCCTCCTGGGCACCCTGCACACATCTCACCCATGAATCTAGGATGATGCCTCCCATTCCTTACCTACCCAGGGGCTCTGTGCCAGTCCAATGAGAGGGACCAGGAGAGGCCTCTGGCACGTGCTCAGGGTGGCCAGCCTTTGGCTTTCTCGGCGGCTTTTGGCTCTGAACACCAGGGGACAGAAGTCAGGCAGGCGACCGCAGCTTTGGCGTTTCTGGATAACCAAGGCCAGTGACTGGGAGGCTGGT